TTTAACTAAATCTCACGCTGCACTACGCAATGGTTATGAGGAAATGTATACTCCTTTACTAGGACACTTAGAGGCAAGCACTCAAACGACGCGAGAGAGAAGAGGCAGTATGAGGGTGCATGAGAAGGCAGTAACCAAACGAAGATATGAGTAGCTAGGTTAGGTTACATAAACCCAAATGAATGCATATTCAGTGATAAAAAAAAAAGCAAACTATATGGAATAACCCGCAATACGTCTAGCAATGACATAGCCACGAGCAAATGAATAAAACTCGAGAATTTGCACTATAGTCACTGGTGGTGTAAAGTTGAGGCAGTATGGCGCTGTACGAGGGTCACACCAGCCACTGCCAACACTCTCTCAGTAACTACTGAGCGGGCGTGGGGCCACCTACTTGGCACCCTCTCCCCATATCTTGTCACCCTCTGGCCAGTGAGGCAGGGGGGATTGGTCCGAGCATTGGTGTTGGGGTAGGTTCGTGGGTAGGGGAGTGGTCTTAGGAGGGAAGGGGTCCTGGGGAAGTGAGAAGGCAATGGAGGGGAGTTATTATTGCGGGGGGAGAGGCCGGAAAGGGGGAGAGGTCTGGAATGGAAAAAGCTGAGGGAGGAGTTGGGGATGAGGAGGGGAAGGATTTGAAGGGAAAGGTAGTTTCTAGAAGAGATTAATTTCTGGGGTAGGTGAGCTGCCGCAAGAAGGGAGGATAGTTGCTTGGGGAGGAGAGGGGAATTGCTGAGAGGGGAAGGGAGTTGCTTGCTTGGGAGGGGAGTTACTAAAGAAGGGAGAGGGTGGATATGCTGTGTAAGGATTAGGAGTTAACAGAGTTTACCTGGAGTTTACCTGGAGAGAGTTCCGGTGGTCAACTCCCCCGCTGCCCGGTCTGTGACCAGGCCGGGGAGTGCATGAAAATTTCTGGGGAAGGGGAGTTCCGCAAGAGGGGAAGTTAGATGCCGATGGAGGGAAGGGTTTTTTCCTAAGGAAAGGGGATTAAATTAACTGTGGAGGGGTGGGAAGTTACAAGGATAGGAGAGCTGCTGGGAGAGGGAGTTGGAATAGGAGGGGAGTTACAGGTGAGGGGAATTTCTGAGGGAGGGGAGGGGATTTGCCGAGGGAGGGGTGTTACAAGGGAAAGAGAGGTCAGCTATCAGAGGAGAAGTGCAGGAGAGTGGTTGGGGAGAGAAAAGTTTCTGGGGGAGGGGTGGGGAGCTACTGACGAAAAGGAAGGGTAGTTGTGGGAAAAGGTAAGTACCAGAGGAGTAAAGTTATCGAGGGAAGGGAATAGTCGGAGGTGGTTAGGAGTCAGGGGATCCGAAGGATAGAAAGAGGGGATTGGTGGAGAAGGGAAGGGGAAAGAGGTCGTGGAGGGAAGGAGTGTAGGGAGTGGAGTAGTGAGGAGTGATAGAGGGCACAGATGGAGGTCGTGGAGGTAAATGTGATCTGGAGGTGAGTGACCTCAGGGGTAAGTGGTCAGTACTGTAACATGAGGTGATCTGACCTCATGTGTACTTCTCCCTCCCTCCCTCCCTCCCTCCCTCCCTCCCTCCCTCCCTCTCTCTCTCTCTCTCTCTCTCTCTCTCTCTCCTCTCTCTCTCTCTCTCTCTCTCTCTCTCTCTCTCTCTCTCTCTCTCTCTCTCTCTCTCTCTCTCTGTCTCATTCTCTCAGCATTCTGTCTCTTTATCTATTTATCCTCCTTTCATTTTTCTTTTTTACGCTTTCTTCATATATACCCTCTCATCCTCTTTGCCCTCTCATGCACACTCCTATCTTCCTAACCTCTTATTCACTCTCTCTAGCCACTCATTGCCCTCTCTTATTCTCCCTCTCTTTTCCTTTTTCATCTCTCTTTCTCTCTCTACCCTGTCATTCACTTTTTCTGCCCTTTCTTCCACTCTCTCCCCTCTCATCCACTCTCATTATCTTTTCACCCACTCTCCCTCCCCTTTCATCCGTTCTTCCTATTTTCTCCTCCTCTTCATCATCCTCATTCTCCATGCCCTGTTATCTTCTCACCCTACAATCCCATCCCCTTTACATGCCCTCACTGTCAACCCTCTTATCCTCTCTCCTTTACTTCTCATTCTCTCCCTGTCTTCTTTCTAATCTCCCCCTGCCAATTTTTTTTCTCTCCCTATCCTCTAAGACAATCTATAAACCCTCTCAATTTCGTTCTCTGCCCTCTCATTTAGTCTCTCTACCTTCTCATCTCATTACTTTGTTCTCTCATTTGTTCTCCAATTCTTCTCATTTCTCTCTCTCTCTCTCTCTCCTCTCTGCCCTCCCATCCTCTAACCCCATTTCTCTGACCTCTAATTACCTTTATCATTCCTTTCGTTATCTCTTCTTGCTCCCTCATTTCTATCCTATCATCCCATTTCTCTGCCTTCTTATCCTCTCTCCTTTCCCTATTATCGTTTCCACTATTCTTCTAATTTTCTCTCTCTCTCGACACTCATATTTTCTCTCCCTACCCTTACATACCATTTCATTTCTTTTTTGTCTCATCCTCTTTTCCTTACTTCTCATCCTCTCTCCCTTACCTCTCATCCTCTCTCCCTTACCTCTCATCCTCTCTCCCTTACCTCTCGTCCTCTCTACCTTACCTCTCATTCTCTCTCTCCTTACCTCTCATCCTCTCTACCTTACCTCTCATCCTCTCTACCTTACCTCTCATCCTCTCTCCCTTACCTCTCATCCTCTCTCCCTTACCTCTCATTCTCCCTCCATTACCTCTAATCCTCTCTATCTTACCTCTCATCCTCTCTACTTTACCTCTCATCTTCTCTATCTTACCTCCCATCCTCTCTACCTTACCTCTCATCCTCTCTACCTTACCTCTCATTCTCTCTACCTTTCCTTTTTTTCTTTTTTTTTTTTTTTTTTTTTTTTTTTTTTTTTTTTTTTTTTTACACAGGGTTTGACAAGATTAAGGATCCCTAGATTTATTGACAATCTATTTACAGGTTAAGGATTCCTAACTTTATTGGCAAGCTAAGAGCTATTACCTACATCAGCTCATTTGCAAGCATTTTTATTGTTATGAGACATACAAGTAGGGAACAGGATGAAGTTGGAGCCATCTGTGGGCCAGCATTTTCATTTGATCAACTGACTTTATCTCGTTGACATCATTATGCTGTACGAATGTGTTCCATACTCGAGTCATCCTGGGTATATATGATCTCAGATGGAGTGACGTTCTGGAGAAGGGTACAGCCAGAGTGAAGTTGCTGCTTTCTGCCCGTCTTGTGGCATAAAAGCTTGTTTCACGCTGTCCTCGAAGTGGATCCTAGTGTGGTACTTTGACAATATTGGCCTTGTACATAACAGTAAGGCCACCCACATCCCTCCTATGTTGAAGGCTCTGCTGAAATGACAGATCTATCCAGAATGGGTCCAGGCAAGAGATGAGACATCTTGCTCTGTTCTCTACTCTGTCAAGCAGTCGCAGATGAGAGGGGGAGCACGAAAACCAAGAAATTGGAGCATACTCAAGGTGTGAGCGTACTTGTGCCTCGTACAGAATCTTGCAACCCCTACTGTCAAGCAGATGCGAGATACGGCGAAGTGCTGTAAGCTTTCTGGCTGCCTTGTTTGCAAGATTTACAACATGGTTCTTCATGGTTAGTTTGGAGTCAAATTTCACCCCAAGGATATCAACTTCTTCTCCAGGTGCCAACACCCTCCCATTCATCCTTACTACTGCACCAGCATTACCATCATGGTGCCTAGAGACCATCATCATTTGCGTTTTCTCAGGTGCAAATGTTACTTGCCATCTATTTCCCCAAGCTGATATAGCTCTCAGCTGGTGATTGTTATAGCTTAGAACAGCTGGCATTTCTTTTCTTGGATAAATGAATGTCAGTGTACAGTCGTCTGCATATGCATGTGATTCTGAGATGAAATGAAGAAGGTCGTTGAAGTAGACATTTCATAACAATGGTCCCAGTACGTTTCCTTGTGGAACACTTGCCCCAATAGGATGTCTTGCTGATTCCGTTCCATTGAGGACTACACTTAGAGATCTACCATGAAGGTAATCACTGAGGAGACATAACGTAGAGCCTGCAATTCCCAGTGCTTGAAGTTTTGCTAAGAGGCCCTGGTGCCACACCCGGTCGAAAGCGCCAGCAATGTCCAGTGCTACCACACAGCTGACTTTGGATTCATCCAGTGACCGGTGCCACATAGTGGAGAGGTTTAACAACAGATCAACAGCAGAGTAACCTTTCCTGAAGCCATATTGACGATCACAAAGTAGTGAGTGGTAGTCAAAAAACTCTGTCATTTGTCTTGAGATTATTGTCTCTAGGATCTTACCAGTGATTGACAGGAGTGACACTAGTCTGTAGTTTCTGATTTCTGCTCTGCTCTTCTTTTTGTGAACAGTGACTACATTTGCCTCTTTCCATAGAGAGGGCCATTTACACTGTACTAGGCAGTGCTGAAAGATGCGAGTTAGAGGTGATGCTAGCTGGTCTTCACATCTTCTCAGCAATCTTGGGCTCAACTTGTCTGGGCCCACAGCCTTTTCTTGGTCAAGCGATTTAATAAGGAAATGCACCTCCTACTGCCTTATTGTCACCACTGACAGTTTTGACACAGTTCTTGCAGCTAGCCAAGGAGGGTCCCTCGCTGCTCAGGAACTTGCATTTTGGTAGCAAAGTGTTCAGCAGAGAGGTCCGCCTATCCTCTCTACTTTACCTCTCATCCTTTCTACTTTACCTCTTATTCTCTCTCCCTTACCTCTCATACTCTCTACCTTACCTCTCATCCTCTTTACCTTACCTCTCATCCTCTCT